CCTCCCCGTACCCCCTAAAAATTTGTTAAAACAACCCGCTAAAAAAGTTCTCAATTTCCTCCTCTTCAGTTCTTTTTTTGCTGCGCGCCTCTGGGGGTTCCATACCCCGTCATTGAGGACGGCCCTCAGAATTATGCTGGGCCGTACCTGCGCGAGGGGGGAATCGCGCAGGGCCAGCAGTTCCGACCTGGAGTATGCAGCTCTCTAACATGCTATGGCCAGTACAATAAAAAATACAGATAGTCCTCAATTATGACAACTGGGACCAGAATTTTGGTTGTTAAAAACCGCAGTTGTTAAATTGAGTTATGCCCAATTTCAGGAGCTTTTTTTGCCATGGTTGTTAAGTGAATAACTTCAATTGTTAAGTGAATCATGTGGTCATTAAGCAAATCCAGCTTTTCAGCTCTTTGCTTGTCTGAACTTATCTGGGAAAATTGCAAAATGATAATCACATGGACCCAGGCCACTGCAACCATCATAAATAAATGCCAGTTGCCAAGCACTCGGATATCAAACACGTGACCTTGGAGATGCTGCAACAACTGTAAGTCACTTTTTTCAGTGCTATTGTACTTTGAATGATTGTAAGCCAAGGACTACCTGTTATCTGTATAAACAAGTAGAGAACTTCCTTTCAAAGTAAAAAGGAAGGAATCTGCACACAAATCTACATTATCGTCTCAATTAAGCTTTTGGACAAGAACATTTTATTATGAAACAGGCCAACCTTCATACTCCCAATATTGGTTATTGCTGCTAGAAATTGCCTTTATTTCCATCTTATCAATCTGTACTTTTATCTACTAAGTTGATTCAAAATACACACATTTGTTTTGCGAAGTTTTATAATATCTTAAAGAAAGAATATGCAAGTATTTAGCATATAATCTTCATCCTCTTACCCCATGCTGAACCACAGTCTCAGGAAAACGCCGTAAAAGCAGAAGTAACATTTCTGCCCGTTCTAAAGTATTGAAGCACTGGTCTGTAGCTTTTAATAACATTTCACATTGAACTCGGCCGGGAAGAGTTTCAAATAAACCTAAAAGGAGAATAATATTGAACTAATGTTTTTAAAGGGTAGAATATAAGTAAAAATTGGAAACTAAAAGTCTGGTGTGAACATAGGGGAAAAAAGACATAAAAATCTGAGGTAAAACTTAGACACATTAGCTCAAGTATTTTGTTTCTGTGAAGAAAATGTACTTTTTCCAAATTTATGTATTTATCATATTTATAGTTGCCCGTCTTGCAGAAAAGTGGCACAGAATAAAAACAATTGTAAAATTATTAAAACAAGTAAAAATTTAAAATATATCAGCAACATTATATAGCATGGTAGTAGAAAAATTGACGTTAAAAATAATGCAGCCATCTCATTAGATCACCATTTCTTTTTGATCCCTAAGCTCCTCACACAGCCATGTTTTCAGGGACTTCCAGAAGGTTATCAAGGATACAACTAACCTCATCTGGGGGGGGGGGAATAATGTTCCATAGGGCAGGCACCAGGGCAGAAAAAGTCAGTCCCCTGGGTACCAATTCCTGATGAAACTCACAGCATAACTTCTTCTTCTTTTTATAGGGTTAGGGATGAAGTGGCATCGGAATTGGGATTTGGGTTCAGGTTAGGATTAGGGTTGGGGTTAGGGTTTTTTCAAATAACATTCTCAATATTCGTTACTTTTCTCAACAAAGCTGCCTAGGTATACAAGGAATCTTGGATGCACTAACCATGTTTTAGGTTATGAAACACACTCGTCTTTCTTCTGCCAATCCACGATATAATTATTATTACAAATTGTAATTACTTGGAATATCGCTAATACCAAGGCTGGCAAATCAGCTTCAGAATTCCTTCCACATGCAAACTCTAAATCTCATTTCCCAAAAAGTTCAGGGTGCAAGGAAGACAATCACATCTGCTCATCCATCTGTATCACCACAACCAGCATCCAAAAGGAAACTCCTCCCGGGAGCAATTAGCACCTGAGACTCTCCCGAACACACCCTCCAGAGGGAGGGGTGGCAGGCATACTGAAGAACCTTGCACAGGAACTGCGCAGCTACAGATGGGTCCATCCCAGAGATTGGTGGCAGATGTCTCCTTCAAGTAGGTGGTGGTTTGGCTGCTTTCCTAAGCACTTGTGTGGGAAGGCCAGCAACAAGAAGGAGCTCGTTTTCAGGAAAGAATAAAGTCTAGAAAAAGTGCTGCAGATGCCTTTGCGCTTGAGGCTTGAAGAAAGAAGAGGGCGTGTGCGGCTGAGGTGTCAGTCTTATAAGAGGCTCACACACCCCTTTGTGCCCTTCAGCCACCTTCAGGGGATGGGAGGAAGGGAGATCCTGGGAAGGCTGGGCGCCTTTCTCTCTGACGTGTTGCGAGGAGGACAGGGGGATGGTAGAGACCCCAGGCAGCCTCCGCCTTCATCTGGTGATATTTTTTCTGCTATAAACTGAGGTGAGGATGAAGCCATCATGGTGAGGAGAAAAAGCTGGTTGACTGCAGAACCAAAAGTGGAGTTGGAAATCCTGGGCCAGCTGTCCCAATCCTTTCTGAACCCATCTTTTCGCCTCTCTTCACTCTAATACAACTCCTGTTCTTTCCCTTGTTTTTCTTATCCTTTGCTTTTACTTTTACCTCAAGTATCCTGGGCTCCAACTTCATGTATATAAACCCAGTCCCAGCTTTGCCCGGACTTACTCAGTAGGTAGCCCTCTGAGGGATATCCCTGTCTATATCTGCTTGAAAGCCAGACTAGGGATCTCTGGGGCCATATCACAGATGCTCAGTGACATTGTAGGCCAGCTGGCTGTTGCTGCTGGCCAATGAATGACTGAGGTGCTGCTGGGCACTGACAGCCCCCATGCCCTCACTGGCTCCTGTGCATGTACCCAGGGGAGGCGCCCAACCTTAAATTATACAGTTCTTATTATTTGAATAAATGGCAATTAAATATATACATTTTGCTCATGTTTCTGTAAATAATAACCACATCAATATAAAGTTTCTTTTCTGATTGATCATCTTGGTTGCCTCGTCATAGATCCTGTTTACAAAGTTCTTATTTAAATTTGTTTTCCCCACAATATTCAAAGCATTCTTACTGGTTAAGATTTCTTCAAAATTAGTTACACTTAAGTATGTAAGTCTTTTTTCTCATACAAGCCATCCCAACACTTTTACATTTCTCGTATCTTAAAAAAAGAAAAAGAAAAAAAAAGAGAAAACATTTCTTTTATATAAACCATCCCAACATTTTTATATTTCTCATATCAAAAAGTAAAACATAAAATAAGAAAGAAAAGATATTGTGTTACTTGAACGGTTCATCCCTCTTAAACTAATCTTCATTTATATCCAAAATCTTTCTATTTCTTTAACTATATGCAAACAAATGTTTAATTTTTAAATATTCCCTTTGCAGACAACATCAAGCTGGCAGGAATAGCCAACACTCCAGAAGATAGGCTTAAGATACAGGAGGATTTGAATAAACTGGAATATTGGGCGCTATCTAACAAAATAAATTCAACGCTGAAAAAAGTAAAGTTCTACATTTAGGCAAGACAAATCAAATGTACAGGTATAGTATAGGGCAGGGGTAGGTAATCTTGGCTCTTTTATAACTCGTGGACTTCAACTCCCAGAATTCCTGAGCAGCTATATGCTGGCTCAGGAATTCTGGGAGTTGAAGTCCACAAGTCATAAAAGAGCCAAGGTTGCCTACCCCTGGTATAGGGGGTACCTTGCTCAATAGTAGTAACTGTGAGAGGGATCTCAGAGTCCTAGTGGACAATCACTTAGATATGAGCCAGCAGTGTGCTGCAGCTGCCAAAAAAGCCAACACAGTGTTAGGCTGCATTAACAGGGATAGAATCAAGATCACGTGAAGTATTAATACCACTTTACAATGCCTTGGTAAGGCCACAATTGGAATACTGCATCCAGTTTTGGTCACCATGATGTAAAAAAGATGTTGAGACTCTAGAAAGAGTACAGAGATGAGCAACAAAGATGATTAGAGGCCTGGAGGCTAAAACATTTAAGGAACGGTTGCTGGAATTGGGTATGTCTAGTTTAATGAAGAGAAGGACGAGAGGGGACATGATAGCAGTGTTCCAATACCTCAGGGGCTGCCACAAAGAAGAGGGAGTCAAGCTATTCTCCAAAGCGCCGGAAGGCAGGACAAGAAGCAACGGATGGAAACTAATCAAGGAGAGAAGCAACTTAGAATTAAGGAGAAACTTCCTGACAGTTAGAACAATTAACCAGTGGAACAACCTGCTTCCAAAAGCGGTGAATGCTCCAACACTGAAAGTTTTTAAGAAAAGACTGGACAGCCATTTGTCTGAAATGGTATAGGGTTTCCTGCCTGAGCAGGGAGTTGGACTAGATGACCTCCAAGGTCCCATCCAACATCATCATCATCATCATCATCATCATCATCATCATTATTATTATGGATCATCGCACAGTCAGCCAGATGTTCAGACTGGATTTGGCATTTTGTCTACCTATCGAGTCCTTACCAAGGACCTGGGATAGGCAGATGTGGATGTTTGATGTTATTACAGATATCGTCCATGATGGAGGCGATTCCTAGTAAGGCTGCCTTTTGCAATTGACTAATGATGAATTTGTCAATGCCAATGGTGTTCAAGTGGTGCTCCAGTTGTTTTGGGAGTGCACCTAAGGCGCCTATTACTATTGGTACTACCCTTGCTTGCTGTTGCCACAGCTTTCTATTTCTATTTGTAGGTCTTTGTATTTTGTTATCTTCTCCAGTTCTTTCTTGTCTATTCTGCTGTCTCTAGGCACTGCCACGTCCACTATCCGGACTTTTTTGTCTTTCTTATCGACAATTGTTAAGTCTGGGGTATTATGTTGCAGGTGCTTGTCTGTTTGAATTCCGAAGTCCCAGAGCAGTTTTAACTTTATCATGTTCTATGACTTTCTCTATTTTATGATCCCACCAGTTCTTGCTTACAGGCAAATGATATTTCTTGCAGATCTTCCAATGCACCATTGTTGCTACTTTCTCATGCCGCTGCTTGTAGTCAGTCTGTTCGATCTTCTTGCAGCAGCTTACCAGGTAGTCCACTGTTTCTTCAGCGTGTTTGCATAGGCAGCACTTACTGTCTGTTGCTGTCTTCTCAATTTTGACTTTATATGCATTTGTCCTTAAGGCTTGGTCTTGTGCAGCCAGAATTAGTCCCTCAGTCTCTTTCTTCAATTTTCCTGCTCTTAGCCATTGCCAGGTCTTGTTATTATCTGCTTTCCCAGCTATTTTTTTAATGTACTGGCCATGTAGTGCTTTGTCTTCCCATGCCTCTATTCTGTTCTTTATTTGCTCTTTCTTGTAGGCCAGTTTGGTCTCTTCAGTAGTCAGTAAGCCTTCCTGATATACTAATTTCAGTGCATTTTCATCACCGTCTTTCAGATATTCTTCCAAAGCCATTTTTTCTTCTTCAACCATCTGATGTACTTGCAGCATTCCATGCCCACCTATTTGCCTTGGTAGATAAAGTCTGTCAATGTCACTGCATGGATGAAGGGCATGATTCATTGTCATTATTTTTCTGGTCTTCCTATCCATTGCTTTTAGTTCTGCTTGAGTCCAGTCCATTATTCCAGCTGTGTATGTAATGACTGGAATTGCCCAGGTGTTAATTGCCTTTATGGTAATTCCTCCCTTGAGTGAGTGGGGGATTTTTATTTTTTGCCTCGTTTTGCGCTTTTAAAGAGAACGTGCTCCCAATGCCCCTCCCCGTATAGCCAGAAGCCTTGTGCCATCGCCTTTCGCCTGCCGCGCTCTCCCAGCCCCTCTCTTTCCCTTCCTTTGAAACAAACCCTCCCCCAATCCTCCCGTTCCTGCCTTCTGAATTAAAATGAGAGAAAGCCAAGTTTTTTCTTTTGTGGTCTTTACATATTTAAACTGCAGCTAGAAGGAAGTGGGGAAGAAAACCATCGTGAGATACTTCTTCTGTTTTAACATTTTTTCTTTGTCGCTTTTCAGAGTTTTCATCCTGCTTTTGTGGGAGGGCAGCGTTTGGGGAGGGGTGTAGATGCCCCCTTCACCCCCCAAGCCACCAGCTGAGCAAGACGCCCGCCTGCCCACGCTCTTCCCCCTGTCCGAGGCTTTCATTGTTGTGAGCATTTCTGTTGAGGATTGGCGGGTGGACTGTTTGGTTGTTATTCCCCCCCCCCATCTGCTGGGTGTTGCAGCAGGTTTTGATCTCTTCTGTCGTGCTGCGAGGTTACCCACGAAGCACATTTGTTTTTTGGGGGGGAGATCCCCACTCCGATTGCTAAGCTTGCTTAAACCCTTTTCCTCCACCTCCTCCTCACTGGAGCCCCCCTTTGTCTGCAACGGTGGGGCAAGAAGACCCCTGCCGGACTGGGATGATGGAGATCTGCCCTCTGTGGAGTAGGAGCAGGGTTACTATGCTCCCCGTCAATCAGGTTTGATTTCCTTTCTTTGCCCCCCTCCCTGCCTCCCCTGCTTGTAGCTGCTTCTGCGCCCCTCATTCTTGGGTGTTAGCATTGTCGGCACCTCTTTCTCCTGAGCCCCTCGTGCTGAATTACTGTTGCCACCCAAGAGCTGTTTTAAAGTTAGGGAATCTTTGGGGGATAACCAACTAGCACCCCCCATGCCCCTCACTTCAACGGCAGAAGCCGTACCTCCCCCCAAAGCCCCTGCAACCACCTACTGGCAATTGCACACTGTTCCTGCAGCACCACAGTTGCTGCCTGCCATCCATCTAATTGGTTGGCGGCAAACTATGGCCAAAAGCCCAGGACAAAGGTGGCTTCAGTGAATGGGCTGGGCCGAAGGGTGCAAAATGGAGGGCACGGGGCCCATTCGCCAGGGAGAATGGGTGAGGGCAGGTCAGCCAAGGAATGCTGGAGGCAAATGGGTAGAGGCGGAGGTTCGAAAAGGAGGTGTGGCCAAGGATAGGAGCCTTATGGTCCTAGACCCATGAGCAAGTGGCGTTTGGAAGCAACGGTGCACTAAGTGAGCGAGCAAGGGGCGTTGGCCCCTGGGGATGCCCTGGAGATGGTGAGGGACTGGCCCCCACCATCCTGGCCCCAGCCCTGCCCTGCCCGGTGGCCCCCAAGGCACATGCACAGGAGGTGATAAGTGCACGGGGGCCGACAGCATTCGGTAGCAGGGGCTGCATAGCCTGCTGTGAATACCAGGCCAGCCCTCCAGCAGCAGTGCTGCGGTGGCACCGGCAGCACAAGAGTTGGGGGAGCACATGATGTGGAGCGCCGGACATGCCTACTCCATCCCATCTCTTTTTGGTTGGAGAGCTGGTCGCCACTGGTCATCTCCTCAGCCTTCTCGAGGGTCTTGCCCTTGGCTGGTGGGTGAAGCACATTCCCCTCATACACCTCGATACCTACCACGACCGCCAGCTGCTTGTGCAGATCCATTATGCCACCACCAGAACTGCAGGCTCGCCCAGCACGAAGGAGGCGAAGCGATTGGATAGGAAGCCCCACATAGAGGTGGTACAGCATGCCCATGGCCGGCAGGCAAAAGGCCACCCCGAGTGGGGAAAGCAGGATCCCCATCGGGGTCACAGCTACCCAGGCTCAGCAGAGATTGGGGGGGAGGCACGCAATCCTACTGGGACTGGGGGCCATGATGTTGATGGGGATCCGGCTTTCCCTGCTCGGAGTGGCCTTTGGCTTGCTGGGTGTGGGTGTGCTCTACCACCTCCACTTGAGCTTGGTAGCCAGCCGTTTCGCCTTTGTGCTAGGTGGGCCAGGTGCTCCAGGTGGCAACAGCCTAATGGACCTGGCAAGCTGCTGGCTGCATCGGCCCAAGGCGGGGCCAAAGTGCATTGGGTGCGTGAGGGGAACAGGCTCCAAGCGCGGTCCAAGGGCAAGATCTGCGAGGGGGCCAAGGAGATGACCAGCAGCAACCTGCTCTCCAACCGCAAGCAAAAACAGATGGGACGGAATAGGTGTGTCCAGCGGTCTGCATCATATGCCTCCCCCCTCCCCTACTCTGCCTGCTGCTTGAGGGCTGGCCTGGTATTGGCAGCGGGCTGCGGAGCCCCAGAATGCGTCGGTCGAGGGACCGACAGGCTGTGGCTGCTGACGGATACCGTTGGCCCCCATGCTCTCGCTGGCCTCTGTGTGCAGGGGCCAATGGTGTCAGGCAGCAGCCGCCCCGGCCTCACCTTGCCTGTGGCAATGGAACCCCCACCCTGCCTCACCTCACCCCACGGGACGAGTCTCCTGCCTACTGCCCCATCTGCCAGAGACCCTCTGGATCTCCCCCAACCCTGCCCAGCCCCCACAGGCGTACCCTCCATGAGCAACATCAAGGTGGCCACACCCACCCCAGCCACGCCCACCCAGTGGGCCACACTCCCCCATGCCCCTCTTGAGGGCACTTTGCGATAAGTGGGTTTTGGGTTGCAGTTTGGGCACTCAGTCTCTAAAAGGTTCGCCAACACTGCCCTAACCAAACCCCTCACCTAGGAGAGGAGCATTAGTCTCTCAATGAATTAGTCTCTTAACAAACAGATCTCTGACCCAAATGAAACAACCTATCCTGAAAATGTAGGCCTGTGTTGAGGATGAATTCAGTCCTCAGTGGTCAATATGTCCTTTGTTTGAATCATAGGGAGATAGATAGATAACCTTTATCGTCATTTTTTGCTGTGGGCACAATGGCACACATTAAAAATGAAATTTAGTTGCTTGCTCTCAAAGTGTACAAATACATAACACACATTTAAACATACTACATACAACATATGTATAGTCTATATAATTTGAGAAAACCAGTTGGTTGCTACAATCTACTTCATTTTCATATGGAATTTCCTCTACCCTATAAATGTTTGCATGTAGGTGCTGGTGAATTTTTGCAATTTGCAATGTTAGAGCGTAGCAGACTATTAATGAAGTAATATGGTAGGAGAAATCACACTGCCATTCCCTCAATCAATTAAAGTTAGAGGATGACATGTCTGAGATTGCTAAACCACTACATCTGAAGCAAATCTGCCTAAAAGATTAAGTATCTCTTGTTTTATCAGTCCATGAATAAACCAAATGGGAAGAAAGCAGGAAAAATTCCTGGCTGAGTAGCCCATTAAAGATTCTAAAAGTTCAGGCCTAAGATGGAACATAGGAAAGGTAGAATGGATTTGATAGTCTCAGAAGCATCACTATGACTTTGTCAAAGCAACGTAGTTGCTCTCGTCGATCTGCTTTATGTTGTGGCAATCAGGTACAAACAGTCATTTCATCTCCCTGCCCCTTTTATATCAAAAGAGGAGAAATTTAGGATATAGATAATTTTCTAAGATTATTTTCTAAGTCATGGAATACAGTATTTCTTAGATTATATAATACAAAATACTTTTAAATGAAATAAGCTAATATCTCAGGGGGAAAAACCCTCTTAACTCTAAATAAAAATGTGCTTTTTATTTATATTGTGTATTTTAGTTTACAATCTCTTCCAGAAAACAATCAGCTAAACTCCTACTTAGTCCTACCAATGGAAAACTGCTTTAGAAAAAGCAATCTGAAGAACATAAGGTAGAAATCAGAATCTGATTTGAAGAAAAGTATGGTTAAAATACAACCACAGTATTTATACTGCATCCAAGAATGAACTCCACAAAATACAGAGAGACTTATTTCAAGTAAGTATTGTAAGGGATTGCATTATAAGAGCTTTTAGTAAGACATAGGCAATTTATTGGATAGTGCAATTTAGAAGAAAAGCCACCATCACGTTGTTCCTCAAAGCTTCCTGCAAATCAAGTTCATTCAAACATCAGTAAACACCATTCTCCAAGGAATTTAAGTCCAGAATAAATTTATACCTTTTAAAAACTGTGTCTGCTTATCCTGTGAATCATTACGAAGTGCTGATGTGATAATACTAATCTCCCGCCAAACCACTGGTTGCTCTGGAAAATTGACAAACCTGAAATAAAGAATAGGGGAGGGGCAAAATTTCTATTTGAAATCACTAAGAACAGCTGAAATTTTGTTATGAAAAGCATGTTATTAAGGTAAAAAGGGTTTGCCAAACTGGTCATATTAACACAATACAAATTATACTAAGGAACAACAACAAAAATTAACTATTTAAAGGATCAATGCTCAAAAACCAACAAGTAAAAGGACAATATGAAGATGACAAAATCCATTGGTTAAAGGAGAAAGAAGGAGAAAGTTAGAAACCAGATTTTTAATTTTTTAATACTAAAGACATCAGTATTAAAAGTACTAAACTTAAAATAGAAATCTTATTATATAACAAATAACTTTTTGAGAGAGATGGGCAATTCAGAAATGTGAAATATAAATAAATTTATTGCAATTTGTGGTTAATCAGTACTGCTCTTAGTTCTAGATGTAATTATCAACATTAACAATTTTAGAAAACATAATTTAGAAAACATATTAATATAACTTTTTTAAAGCTTTATAAGTTATCTAAATTATGTGTTAATAATTTCTAGTCAATACTGTATGAAAAAACTACTGTACCCAAATAGTATAATGTAATATTTATGTTTTGTAATACATTAAACAATATTAATTAAAAGAAAAAAGAAAAGAATCAGGAAATCACATAAAGTTTTTATATAAAAGGACCTATAGCATGATATATTCCAAACAACCATTTAAAGAGTTTCTTCTAAGAAATAGTGTGTATGAGGTATATAATTTCAGCTTACTGTCATAAAATGGAATTAGACACTTCTATGTTAGCAAAAACATTGGTAATGAAAAATCATAATAAAAAAACTGAGACATGTTAAGTTTTTTTATTTTCTTTCTATGAAAGCTCTCTTTTAACAGAGGTCAGCCCAGAAGTTTCTATGACTGTTAAAAGGGTTCTAAGAAACTATTCAGTATTCCCTTACTTAACAAGTGGTGGGATTCAGCCAGTTCGCACCACTTCGGCAGAATCGGTAGCTAATTTTTTGTTGCCCAGAACCAGAATGGACTTCTGGAAGCGGCATCCACACAGAGAACCGGTTGTTCACATATTTGAATCCCACCACTGATTTAACACTATTCTTGAAGATAAAGTTAAAAGTTAAGAACACTGTTCTTAAAGCTTGAAGTTCCATTTAGCCATCTAGTTTACAATTCTATTATCTATTTTTTCATCTAAGCATCAAAATATGTTAACAAATTCCATACATTAATTATACACTATGAGAAAAAATGTTTTTATCCATTCTGAATTTATTATTCATAGATATCACTAAATGACAAATTCTATTCATGCCATATATGTTAAGTATTTTATTCCCCAAGATATCAGTATTTGGATCCAAAGCAGGAAATGTTCTTTGGATCCAATGTGAGTATATTTGTTATACCTATCAGAAATAGCTAAAAGAAAACTTGACAGATTCTGCGGCTACTGAACGGTCCTAGGAAAATGCATTTTCCTGGTACTGCATGAGCGCTATGAGAATGGATAAAGTGAGATTTCTAACAGGTACAAGCATGCACATGCTGAATCCAAAGAAATTTTCCCACTTTGAATCTATCTTCAAAAATAAATCTTTCAAGATCTTGATTGTCCATCAGATTAATTTATTACAGGTAGTCCTCATTTAACATCAAAGAATTGGGGCATATTAGGTATGTCTTGGTGCAGAAGAATATAAACATGTCTCTAAGGACCTAGTTGCAGGGATCTCCAACCTTGGTAACTTTAAGACTTGTGAACTTCAACTCCCAGAATTCCTCAACCAGCCATACTGAGGAATTCTGGGAGTTGAAATCCACAATTCATAAAGTTGCCAAGGTTGGAGACTCCTGTAGTATGGAATATGTGATATGTACCTCAGGTTTCAAAGGTTGAAATATAATTCATACAGATATTTAAAATGTTTTATTCATCCCACCAGATTCCTGCTTATTGGCATCTGTAAAGTATTTTTCCTCAAAAACTATAGCTGTGATTATAATTACAGGGTAGTCCTTGACTTACAACAGTTCAAAGTTACAATATCACTGAAAAAAGTGACTTATGATCATTTTTCACACTTACAATCACATGGTCAAAATTCAGACAGTTGGCAACTGACTCATATTATAACAGTTGCAATGTCCCAGAATCATGTGATTCCTTTTTGTGACCTTGTGACAAACAAAGTCAATAGGAAAGACAAATTCTCTTAACAACCCAATTATTAATTTAACAACTGCAGTGATTTACTGGGATAGTTTATCCCATCCATTCAATCCTGGGAAAAATCCAGTAAAATACGTCTTACATGTCATATAACAATCTGCCTGCTGATGCTGTTCGTTCTGCATTCTTCTCAATGGAGTACATCTCATACTAGGAAACAAGAAAGAAGAGTGTGAGGAGACAAAAACATTCCTACACTGAACATCTTGGTACTGCATACTTTTCTACCTTAGCATAACTAAAATGAGAAAAAAATGAAAAACAGAGGCATTAACCCTAACAGAGCCATCAATTCCATCATATTCAAATTATGCTGTTCTACAAGTTTCACTATAAGGTTTTCTTCATTTCCCCAAAGTTTCTCAATTACTATGAATTGGGTTTAACCCAACTGTTTTATGATATTACTGGAAAACATTAATTGAATAGAGTGGTCAAGGAATGATGCTTGCAAGTTTTATTATGGAAGCATATCTCCTTTATATTGTAATATTTTTTTCCAGAAGTCCTTCATTCAAAATAAATTTATGAAGGCAACCCCTATTTCACCACATTCTTTATGTACTAAATTTAGGTCATGGCTGTAAATATCTTCATTTTTATATGATTCCTGATCCCCTAATTTAATTTAGGTAGTATTAGTTGTCAGGAACAATTTTGCCCAGTTATTCTAGTATACTCTTCTGAAACCCTAATCCCTTTCTGGCAAAGATTACAATCATCAGCTCTTGTTTAGACCACAATCCAAAAGAGTTTAACCTCTTCACATTCTATTTTTTTTTTAACCTATTTGCCTAGGTTTTGGCAGGAAAGTGTCCTCAAAAACAATTTATCAAAGTTAGAGGACTTCTCTGTTATTGAAAAGGAGTGCAGGCCATTCCTTTATTAATGTAGTGAATGTCATCGTATAACAGGTTAGATCAGAACTGGAGAGAGGTTAAAGATCCTTCTCCCTAGCTAACTTTAAATGCTATTCAGCAGGCATTATCTCAGTGTAGCTGATGTTTTGGAAGAATGAAAAAAAGGGGGAGAGAGAGGAGATACATTGGTCCAATCAGATTGAAAGAAGACAAATTATTAAAGGTCATCAGGATGATTACATCTTCCAGTTTATATTTTAAGAATATCACAAATGAATTAGTTTACAAGATTTTAAAATCTACCTTCAATGCTTTCTAATCCTGCATTACAGAAAAAAAGAAGAGAGGGCAACTAGTTGCTCTTCCTCGTGGCAGGAAGCACGAATATTTAAATAATGAAAGCAATAATCTGACAATCCGTTTTCCCACAAAGATCCAAGTCTGAAGGAGTATGAATTGTTTTTATTTCTACGAGAGGCAGAAGAAAAATACCAAATAATATAAATAATACCATCTTGGATTTGAGGGGTCCTTGAGGGGTCCTCTCTGAACTTGCTTGTTTTGTTGCAAACATTTCATTACGCTACTTAGGTAACATCACTGCTAGCACTAGCACTAATGATGTTACCTAATTAGTGTAATGAAACGTTTGCAAGAAAACAAGCAAGCTCAGAGACCACCAAGGACCCCTCATTTCAACCCTGAGCTACAAATATTCTCCTTCATTGGAATCTTGGATTTCTCTACTAAAGTCTTTTAAAGGAAGCTTTTTTCAACATTATCCCTTCGTCCAAGGAAAAACACTCGTCAAAGGAAATAAAGATGCTGCCTCCAAATGCAAAGGATAAACTCCTCGCGAGTACCAGTTCTCTGGAAAGCCGTAGAAATGCGGTCAGAGGAAGTGAAGCTTGGCTGAAGCGAAGCCCCAGAAAACAAGTAAAAAAGCAGCGTTCAGAACCCCAAACTCACAGCCAACCAACCTGAATGTTGAAGTCGGCAGGATAGAGGCTCCGCGCGGTGATAAGCCAAGCCTTGGCAGCCCACAGGTCTCCTTGGACTAGCTCCCGGGCTCGCTTCACCAAAAACTCACAATCCCCCAGCGCCGACATCTTGCAGGCCTTTAAAACTGCGCGCATGCGTACACATGGTCCAGTAAAGCTCGAGAATCTATTACTTCCCAGGACCAATGAAGTCGAAGAACAATTCTACGCATGCTCAATATCTGAAGTTAAGCGGTCTTTTTTTTAATGGACGAAGTAAATGTCACTTGGATTGAATATTGGATTTTCGTATTATGAGCCTTTCAGGTTACTATACAAGTCACTCTTGTTTTCTTGTAATATATTTCGCAGGTGGAGCGATACTGTTCACTGCTGTTAGCTCTGAAGGTATTCCCTGGGTTTTTGTAGCTAAATTCTACTAATCTCTCCATCAAGCACCATGCGCTTGGTTAAAGTGTATATGAAGTTTTCGGGGGACTTTTAAAAAGTAAAATATTTATTAAAATGAAGAAAGATTTAGAGTTGAGTTTGTGAATCTTCCACTACTCTTTGGCAACACAGATAATAAGCTGCTGTCTAATCATAGCTATATTGACGGTCTGAACCTTTTCACTCTCTTATGTACTTATTTGTTAGTTACAACGTGTTTCCAAAACATGATAACTTTTAAAGTAAATGCATTTCGTCCTATTTATGATCATACTATGTAAGTGTCAATATACAGGCAATTTCTGTATTTTAAATAAGGTAAGTACATTCAGTCAAAGTATTTAACTTCCTTCAGAGAAAATCAGATCATTAACAAGACATTACAGTATAGTGATATTTTTCTTATGTTCATTTGTGATATAGGATGATCCAAAACAGAGTTGAGATTGCCTGTGAACATCTAGCACAGGCTTCATGAACTGGGATGGGAGAAAATATTTTTACTAACCTCTAGTAACCGAAATGTAACTTTTTATTCATTAATGTATGTAGACAGTGAAATAATGTATGACCTCTAGATTCCAAAAATGTTTGTTGGCCTAAATAAATCTCACTAGCTGGAATTATCTTATACTAAAAAGTATTGCCCTGTTATTGGTCTAATGAATACATAATCACTATATTACATCATGTAATTTTAAACTGTTTATAATTGTTTCAATTTTCTATTTCAATCTTTGTAAAACAATCCACATCTATGTATTTCATTTTATGCATCTTGCCTCCAATTTTGTATTAACTAAACACAAAAGCAATAAAAAGACTACACACAATGATAAAAGAAGACAAATATGCTAAAGAAGAAACAAAAAGGGCATATATTCATAAACATATATAAGGTTGTACTGTGAATATTTCAGTGAATGGAAGCCATAATTCATTAAAATCACCCATAGCTTATCTATATTGATAAATTATTGATTCATAAATTGCTGGTAAATCAGTTCTGTAGATTCTGGAATAGTTGAATTCTGAACACCAAACTCAATAGTTGAAGCCCAGGTTCTGTTTCCAATGCTGAACATCAAATCTTTTAACTACAGGTAATATCCACATTTTTATCCAGATGTTTTTTCCATGTGATAGAGATAAACTTCAAAATAATATGAATATCTAAAAATATTGAATCTTAAACTAATACATGTAATAACCTCCTTCTCAAGTAGAACAATTGTTGGACACTAGAAATATTTCTTGTTGAAAAAGATATAATTTAAAATATATTTAAGCTTTTAGTGTTTTTAATATTGTTTTTAAATTAATAAAATATGCAAATAAAAGAGGAAAGGAAAAAGATACATTTACATGCATAAACGATAATTATAAAAAAAGAAAGGTTTTTTTTTAAAAAATAAGATTTTTAAAACGAGTTTCTGGTGCTTTTCTTTAGATATTGCAGGAACAGTTAATCTCTACCAAATTTAGTAAAAATAGACAAATTCATCTGCAGATACTGCATATTTTGTTTCCATTTTTCTGCCTCACTGATTTCTTGTTTGATCCAATCAATTGAACAATCTGATTGATCAGACTTTTGGATCAACAACAGTCTTGACTCTAATTTAGCCAGAGATTGTCTTGTCTAAATTTGCTTTGTTTCCTCTTATTGACTACTAGTTTATACAGTATTTGGATGAAATGGGACAACTTGCTGCAGTCAACTCGCTACAGCCAATTTGCTGCAGTGTATTGTTCTAGACCAGGGGTGTCAAACTCAATTTCACTGAAGGCCGCATCAGCATTGCGGTTGTCCTTGGGGGGGGCGGGTAGGTGTGGCCAGGGTGGGCATGGCCTACTGGGTGGGTGTGGCTGGAGTGGGTGTGGCCTACTGGGTGGGCGTGGTCAGCTCTACATTGTTCATGTCAAGAGTGCCTGTGGGGGCCTGGGCAGGAGTGGGACAGATCTGAGGGTCTCTGGCAGAAGGGGGTGGGACCAGGACAAGCGCCAAGGCATGGTCCACTGGAAGAGCCTGCCGAAACCCCTCCCCCGGAGCCCATCAAGCCGGATATGTGAAGTAGGCAAGGGCCATTTGCTGGCCACTTCCAGGCAATGGTGCATTTCTTCATTCCTCACAAAGGGTGACACCTCCCCAGCGTGCGCCCAGAGGGTGGGGCCAATGCAGCTGGGGCCGGTCCTTTGCTGTTTCCATACAGCCTTGTGGAGCTAAGACTGAATGTGTTTCAGCATAGATGGCCACCACAAAATTGTACATTGGCTCCCGGGCGGCCAGGGCCGGGGCCAAGGCAACGGGGGCCAATCCCTCACTGTTTCCAGGATGGCTTCGCGGGCCACATGAAACCACGTCCCGGGCCGCATCCGGTCCCCAGGCCTTGTGTTTCACATGTCTGTTCTAGACCCTATTTGGAGATAACTGTGGTACACTAGCTCAGAAATAAGTAACTATAGTTTTGTAAGAAAAAAAATATCAGTGTGCTTTATTCTGCCTAATTTTACATAAGGTACTTGATGTCCTTTTTATTTGGAAGCCAATTTATTTGGCAGCTCTTTTCCTTATTGTAATTTGAAAATTGACTAAGTGCTTTCTTACTGTGTAAAAAGCAAACTTCTGTATCATTTAGCTTCACTTAGATCAGTAAAATTTATTTCTGAGAACATAAGTGGAAGATGAGTACTGGTAATTGCCCTGTGATGCACGCCCCCCCCCTCATTGATTTCTGGAGGTACTGCTGAAAAGAGTACCATTAATCTGTGGGGGGGGAAGCAAGGAGGAGGGAGCAAGCCTCCTTCTAGTCAGTGGAAAGAATATGTCAAATTCATATTGGAAAGATGTCTTCAGCCACGGCTGGACAGTTTAACAACTCAGTTCCCTGTTCTGATTTGCACACTGAACTCTTTGAGAGTACAGAACCTCTCCCTCCCACTTCTCATTTCCTTTGAAACTTGCCTGGGGCATTTGAAACTTGTGGGATTCTGCTCCCCCTTCTCTCCCTCAGTAGCAGGTTTATGTGATAATGTTCCTTTTCACCATTTCATTCCATGAAGCTTTTTTTCTTTTTCCTGTTTTCCCCATTCTAAAATTGGAGTTTCTTACTGCAAATTCAGATCACTTAACAGCCCTATTCCTTAACAAGTACGACACTTTGCAACCTGGTGACAATTTAGCAGTACTCAAAGAGTACAGCAGGTAAGAAGTTATCTTTAGTGTAGTTTAAAAAGAGAAAGATCTCCATGATTTCCAGAGTGACTTATGGAAGATAATAAATTATCCTTATAACATGGAACAAAGCCACAGCTTGTGAATGCTGGAAAGTAGCATGGGCCAACACAGATGATTGTATTCATGGTATGTGCTGGCAATTATGTGAGTAACTTAGAATTTTAAAAATTAATTTTAATTCTAGAAAATTTAATATTTTGCATGTGTGCTGGTATGTATTTTGTTAACAAATATTACAGCAACGAACATTTCTAACATTTTTCCTTTTTGGTTTCCTAATTAAAATTAAAATGCCAAAATTTTCAATGTAAAAAAGATAATTCATTTATAACTGAGTTGCATTTATTACCTTTTAAAATTACCATTAAGTTGAAATCAACCAATTTTTTTAAGAAACTTATATTTCAATTTAAGATTCTTTCAGGGAAATATGCAAGCTTATTCAGAACCAGATTTCCTGAATCCAGTGATTTTAGAATAGTTGCATTAAAACTTGATATGTTATTGTCTACAGTACAGAGAAGACTTCAAATTGTGTAGATTTTTAAAACCAATTGCAAATTGATCATACCTTTTTGGTGAAGGGAATTTGGAAATTCAAGAAGATAATCAATGATAACAAAAATATTTTCACTTTTCACCAGTGTGTACATGTGTATCAAGTGCATTTTTACTAAGCATGCATAGCTGTTTCCTGTAGTATTGAGAATATAATGTTGACTTGTAGAATGTTGGCTCATTAGGCCACCTCCAGTTTCCATAATTATGTACATGCTTTTTTGCATTTCAGCTGTTCATAGTATGATTGATTTTATAGTTATGAGAGAATATTTAGATAACTGTGTTATCTGATTTTGCAGAATAAAATGAGTTTTCTTGATTTTATTGCTTGTTTGATGTAAGGGGGGAAATCTGGGTGAGATAAGCATATAGCTAAAATATATAAGAGTAATGGACTAAAATATAGGTTGAGGTTTTATATACTATGAATCACAATTTGTCTCGGTTTCATGGAGAATTAATGGTTAAGGTATATATGCTTGATTTTAACCAAAATGCAAATGCACTTCTTGACTTTTTGGTTAAAATCAACTGTATATCTTAACGATTACATCAGACTGATTCAACTCAGTGCTTTTTTTCTTAAAAAAAGAAAGGTGACGGAACTCACACACATCATATAACCCGCCTTGCCTACCCTACAAGGTTCCATCCAAAAAAGGTGCCGGAACTCCGTTCTGGGCGTTCTATGAGAAAAAAAAGCCCTGATTCAACTTAACACGTGGATAATACAAGTTCCATTAGGATTTAACAGTGTTTTACACAATTTGTATTTGATCCTTGATTGTAATTTGTAAATAGATTGTAAATAAAGAAATATATAATTAAGAAGTTGGACTAGCACCAAGTTCTAGTTCACTTTTAACCACAGACGTTCACGGGGAAATCTTGG